CAGATTTCTTTTCAATGTATCTGTCCGTCGCGGTGTATCTTCTCACATTGGCAGGCTGCTCAGTTGTTGCACACATGAAACTGTTGAATTGCAGACGTGAGTTTGAATTCAGCGGCGACCGCAATAAAATAGTTCTGATTTACAAAGGATCCAACGGCGTGCTGATGCCTTGGCCGATGCCCCCCCGAATGCTGCGCGTCCCTCACGTTCTAAAACAAACACCCAAAAAAGAAAAAAGGAAAAAAAAGAACACCCTCAATGTCGCAATGGCCAGATAATCGCCGTGCCTGGGGTGGGGCTGGCGTTGGGCCGCGTCCTCGCCGTGGCGGGTTCACTTGTAATAACAATGAATGACTGAACCGGAACCAATGACCGAATCTCCTCCCTACTGCCAGCAGTACATGAGGTCACCATCCACGCCCTACACCTTCTACCACCTTCTCTTGGTGGTGGCTATGGCGGACTAGTGAGGCCTTGCCCTGATGTCCAAAGGACAACCCAAAAGCTGATATGTCCCCTCCTACTCAGACCACCATGCCTAACTCTGCCATGGGACCTTCCTTGAAGCAGCACACCCCCATTGGGGCCTTCCAGGTGCAGCGCCAACCACGAAGATAAAGATGATGTCCACCATAGCCAGGTAAGTACCTCTGTCACTCTCCTCCAAGCCCCCTTCTTCCTCCTCCTACCGGGTCTGCTCCGCCATAGATGAAGCTGGAGCGCCCGGTCTTCTTCCTTCTCCCCAGCGCTGAAGGCACCAGCGCTCACTTCAGCAGCGTGACAAGCTTATTGCTTCTCTGGGAGATATACCCAGTGGCTTGCCTCTTGGGCGATGATTATCCAGGCCGCTCGGCGTCCCAAGCAACCGGTACCTTCTTCCATTCAGAGGGAAACATCATTCCAGATCTGATATCATCCGCTGCAGGTCCTAGACTCAGACTAATGGGCTGGTACCCCTAGACCTAGGCCTACCAGACTTCAAAAATATCCTCGGGCTCTAAAGGTACTGACTCTTTCTCTTCTTCTGCTCGCCTACCGCTACTCAAGTGCACCCTAAGCTATGTGGGCCTACCCTACCGGTACTTGAATGCTAGCCTACCACTACTTGTGTGTTTTCCCACTGCAACCCTCAAAGTCACAGCCACAGGTAAGTACTGGGCCCGAGGGCCGTCCAAACATACAAGTACCCTGGTGGGTCACACACTGTGGCACACTGCGTAGCCACACGGGCCCTGCAGGGCCCGTCCCGGACAATCAGCCTAAAAGCCTAAAACTTAGGGCTTACAGGCCCCGTCCGTTTCAGCCTGGATGCTGAAAAACGAGGGCCTGCAGGCCCTACCTCGTTTCAGCCTATTTCTGGGTCTTTTCAGACCCAGAGTTTTCAGCCTGAAACGGAGGGCCATTTTCAGGCCCTCATTGTTTCGACCTGCCCCTAAGACTCAGGCACGGAAACAGGGATGCGGAACAGGCCCAAAATAGCCTGTTCCTCAAGCGGTCGAGCAGGAGCTGCAGCTGCCACCCCTGCCTCCCTTCGGCAGGCTCAAGAGGCACACCCGTGGTACATAGGAGGTTCCCATGCACTTCACGGGTAGGTAGTGTTCAGTAGGCACGAGTAGTCTTCAGGTTTGGGCCGCAGCACTCAGGAGGAGCGTTGCAGTAGTCTTCAGCGCTAGGCAGTAGTGGTAGCGCTAGCTGTAGTCTTCGGCGCTGGGCGCCATAGCTGTAGCTGTAGTCTT